GGCCGGGGCCGGGCTGGGAGCTCGACGGCACCAGCGAGATGGACACGTTGGGGGGCACTGGGAGGGATGGGGGAGACACTGGGCTCAACTGGGGGGCACTGGGAGGGACTGGGATGGCAGTGGGAGGGACTGGGAATAGAGTGGGGGAGAAGGGGCTGGGTTGGGAGGGCACTGGGGAGAGAGTTGGGAGATGGAGTGAAGTGAGAACGACTGGGAATGGACTGAGAGAGTCTGGGAATGGATCGAGAGGGTCTGGGAGTGGAGTGAGAGAAACTGGGAGTGGAGTGAGAGGCACTGGGAGTGACTGGGATGGTCTGGGAGTGACTGGTGTGGCCTGGGAAGGAAGCGCTCGGGCCTGGGAGGCTGAGTGGTGGTGAGGGAAGTGTTTGCTTTGGGTCTGCCTGGCAACTGGAGCGTCATCAGAGACACGCGCTGCGATTGGCTGAGGGGCGGGAGCTCGGGGGCATCGACGCGTGGAGACGCGGGGGGACACTGGGAGAGACTGGGATGGACTGGGATGGACTGGGATGGACTAGGAGAGACTAGGAGGAACTGGAAGGACTGGGAGGGGCTGGGATGGCCTGGGGGGGCACTGGGATGGGGCAAAATGCCATGGGACTGGCCCAGGGAGGGCTGAGGGGTCTGGGGTGATTCCCAGGGAGGGTTTGAGGGGCTCCAGGGTCATTCCCGGGGCAGGGCCCGAGGGGACCCACTCTGCCCCACGCTCACCTCTCCTCTCCACGGCAGGCCGAGTGTACACCTTGTAGTTGTGCCGGCAGAGCCAGTCCACCGCAGTCCGTGCGCGCTCCACAAATTCTGGGTCGCTGTTCCATTTCCTGGCAACCTTCTCCCCAAACGGGGTGTCACCCACAAACACCCCCACATCGCTGTCGAAGTGCACGTACTGCTCCCGGTTGTAGATGTTCTTCCTCACATACGTCACCCGCTCGGTGCCGTTGATGAAGTGACACTCGAACTTTCTCATCATCTGGAACACCCCTGTGTGTGCAGGACACGGGTCAGGGGGTGCCCCGTCCCCCCCCATCCTGCCCCAGCCCCCCACAGCAGGCTGGGAGCTCAGGGGGCCACCCCGGACCCCCCTTTCCCACCTCCCTCTGCCCCACGGACGCCCCAGCACCGGCTCTTGGCTGGGGGGGAACCCCCCCATCAGCCCCCCGGGGATGGACGGGGGGTTGGGGACCCCCCCAATGCCGATCCCCCCCCCCCCAGAGCCCCAGGGAACCGCTCCAGGGCTTGAGGGACACCCAGGGACCCCCAGGGCACCCCTCTGCCTGCTCTCCCACACCCCCTTGCCCCCCTTTCCCACCGGCCCCACAATCCCCAGACCCCCCCGCCCTCACTTTGGGGCTCCCACCCCCCTCCCACTCACTCCGGATCTTCCAGCCCCCCTCGCACTCACTTTTGGGGCTCCCACCCCCTCTTTTCTCCCCTCTTGCCCCCCCTTGCCCACCCCACCCCCCTGCCCGCCCCCCCCGCTCACCCGACAGCTCCTCGCCCGCAGCCGGGGGGGCTCCCAGCACCACCAGCACCGCCAGCACGGCCCCAGCTCCCCGCACACGCTCCATGCCCAGCGCCGGACAGCTGCTGACACCCCAAAACCAGCCGGGCGGCGCCGTTTGGGGGATTTTGGGAGCGCTCGGATTGGCTGAGGGCGGAGTCCAGCGACCGTTTTACGTCGCGTCTTCCCGGCGACTGATGAATCCTCAAACAGAGGATCAAGTTGTCCCGGAGCTCAGAGTTGCCCCAAACAAGAGGGAGATGGGGGCTGAGGGTGCCCAATCCCCCTTTTCCTGCGACTTTTCGTTGTACCCAAACCCCTCCTTTCCAGCACTTTTGGGGTCCTGGAGCTTCTCTGCATTTGGGGGGGCAATCTAATAGTTCCCAAATACCCCTTTGACCAGGATTTTGGGGCTCTGGGGGTGCTCAGCACCTGCTGTTCCCAGGATTCTTGTGGTCTGGGGGTGCCCAAACCCCCCTGTTCACAGAATTTCTGTGCTCTGGGAGTGTCCAAGCCCCTCTTTTCCAAAATTTGGGGGTCTTGGAGTGATCCAACACCCCTGTCTCTCAGATTTTTATGGTCTAGGAGAGCCCATACTCTCATTTTCCCAAGATTTTTGGGGTCTGAATGTTCCCAACCCCCCTGTTCCTGTGTTTTTTAGATGCTGATGGTGCCCAAACCACTCTATTTTAAGATTTGAGGAACTGGGTGTGCCCAAACCCCCCTGTCCGCACAAATTTAGGGGTCTGGGAGTACAAAACCCCCTCTTTTCTCGGATTTTGTGGTTCTGGGACATCCCAAACCCCCCTGTTCCTGGTTTATTGGGAGGCTGACATTGCCCAAACCCCCCTGTTCCCAGGATTTTTGGAGTCTGGGTGTGTCCAAACCACCTTTCTCCAGGATTTTTCATGTCTGGGA